GTTTTTCCGCCCGTTCCACGTGTTCCGCGGCTGTTTTTCCACCCGTTCCACGTGGTCCGCGGCCATTTTTCCACCCGTTCCACGTGGTCCGCTGCCATTTCCCCCCTGACACGTGGTCCACTGCCATTTTTCTGCCCCTGACACGTGGTCCGTGGCCATTTTTCCACCCCTGACATATGGTCTGCGGCCATTTTTCCGCCCTGCTGCATGGTCCGCGGCTGTTTTTCCGCCCCTGATGCGTGGTCCGCAGACGCCGGAATGGATTAACGGTAATTACATTGAACCTTATGGGAAAATTTGCCTCGTGTTGCAACCAATTCGAGTTGCAACCAGAGTCACGGAACGGATTAAATTCATAACTCGAGGTTCCACTGTATTTTGTGCTTTGCAAGGCACATTCAAATATCTATGCCTCTATTTCTGATGCTAAAATGCCAGCTTGTATGCAGAGATATCCTAACATTCCAAAATGCTTCGTGTAGGGACACGATCTGAGGCTGAGGTCTTACTCATTCTATTGTCATGATGACCTCTATATGATAAACTTCAGAAGTGTTCTTATACCCCTACCTAAATATACTGGTTTTCTAAGTCTGTTTGATATGAAATGATAAGACATATGAATAAAAACTATTTGGTAGTTCTTTTTGCTATTGCTGATAAGTAAATCAGAGGTAATGTCCACTGTGGAGATTGCTGTTAATTGTGCAAGGGCTAACTTTTGTTTAAAATTCTTTCTGGCACATAGTGATGATGCCAATTTCACAACAGCCCCAACATGTTGCTTAGTCTATGACTGGCATGCCATGGACCACACTCCATAAAGTAGGCAAGACAAGGACAAAAAAATAAATTTTAATTGATTTTATGTTTGAATTTAAATAAATACAGTTAATATGGATTTTGTGCCAAACATTTAATCATTCCTTCCTTTTTTCACATAGAAACAACAATTTGATGGGCCTTGGTGATAATTCCCATCATCATCTTGAAGTTATTGATTGTCCTCTACAAAGCCCTACATAACATTGTCACCTAAAAAGCCCTGGTTGTTTGCAAGCCTGCCTTTCTCCAGTTGTTTCTGTCTGTCCTATAAGATCAACACAGTTGACATGCATTGGTCCCACCTAATAAACAGCATCATCTTACAGTACCCAGGAAGCATGCTTCATCCTGCCCTCTGGAACAGCATTCACCCAAAGTCTGTATGGTCCCAACCCTGCTGTGCTGTAAGGGAGCCTTAAAGACCTGGCACTTGCCACAGGTGTGGCCCAGGAAGTTGCAAGACTCCACCACTTGAGAATGTATAGTTTAATTGTTAGGGTTCCCCCCATCCCCCACCTGCATGGCCATTTTTTAAATTATTCTTTATTGATCGCATTATTCATTTCAACCCTTTGTAAACCGCCCAGAGTCATAGTCAGGTGGGCAGCCTTAGAAACTGAATGAATAGATGAGATTTTTGCCCATGTCCTGAATTCATTAAATAGCCTTCAGAAAGCCTTGGGCTGCTGCCCATTTCCACTTTGATTTTGTAAAGAAATAGTGCTGGAAGCTATTGTACAACCTTTTTTTTTTAAATGAAGATAATTTTTAAAAAATAATGAAAAAGTCAGGTAAGCAGGGACACCAGGAAGATGTCTTTAGGCACACTGGCACCCAGACATCGAGGGGGGGATGGCGTCTGACATATGCCACCATAAAAATCTTGATGTGATAACCTCATGTTTATTAGTTTAACACTGTAACTTTTATGAAATATATGCCTCTGCACTTGTCAATAAAAATAAATGTAATGTACACAAAAAGAGGGGAACAAATACATATTCTAACAGGCATGCATTTTTAACAAGCAATGCATTCATTCAATTTAATTTTGGTAGACTTGCATGGGAAAAATGCTTAATGGGAATAGTGCATCATTATACTCTGCAATAATTACAATCCATTATATGCAGTAGTAGTAAAAATAGGTATGCCTGCAAATGCACTCTTGATGGTAAAGACCTTGCCTATCCCTGTGATAGGACAGAATCATGAAAAGTTCAGAATGTTGACATAAAGGCTGATAATTAAATTAAATGAATAGCTATTAGCTGAACTTAATGAAAGACAAACTAACATCTTCCATGTTGTATTATAAACTAACATCTTCCATGTTGTATTATAGAGATCAGCAACTAGAGATCCCAAGGTTGAAAACGGCCTTAGTTTGTCCTGCAAATTGGCAACTGAAATGTAAGAGATATGAGAAGGGAAAGTGTAACCAAGGGTCTCATGTGACCTGCCAGCATCCCTTCTGTGGCTCTAAGAGCTCTCCTCACCCCTCCCCACCCCACCCCAAATGGATGACATTTATTTTCTTTTTTCCAGTTGGGTGGGTTGGGTGGATTTAGGAGTAAAATAGTTGCCTTAAGCCTTGAAGAAGCTTTCAGCATGACTTTACTTTCAGCATGACTTTACAGGGACGCGGTGGCGCAAGGGCTTAATGATGCAGGAGTTGCCGGTCAGAAATGATTGGCTCTCCTGCGGTTCGAGCCCAGCTCCGCGGGACAGGGTGAGCTCCTGTCGCCTCTTCCCGCCCCCTCCTCACCCCCCACTTTTTAAGCCATTCCCTCTTCGGGGAGAAAAATAGTTG